ATACAGCCTCACTTTCTTTATCAGTCATCTTGAAGCAAAATCCTGTTGCAATAAAGGGCATAAAATTCAATCTTTCATATTAGATTTGAAGTGAACTTCTGACAGCTCAAGCTAAAAATTCTGGCTCTTCTGTATCGATGATACAATGAACATAATGGAATTTGAAGGAAAAATGTAAGACACATTTCAGTAATGTACAAATCAAATTCTGTAGACCTTTTTTGTGGCTACTATTTAAGGAACCACCTTGGCGGTTTGGATAGTTGGTAAGACTGCGAACCTGACACTTGAACACACAGATTCTTTGATTTCAGCTACTGCAGTTTTCAGACACAAATATCTGTCTATTGTAGTGTCTAATATCAAATATTATTGTCAACCTAGCACAGAGGAAACTCTACTTCCATCAATCGTGGCCTTGACACGTAGGTGTGACACCCTGGCTCAGTGGTAGCACTCCTGCCTCTGAGTCAGAAGGTTGTGGAATCACAAAGTTTACACTAAGCTGATGTTCCAGGGTAGTCTGAGGTGAGTTGCACTGTTAGAGGTGACGTCCTTCAGATGAGACGTTAAACCACGGTCCCGTCTGCCCGTTCATGTGGACATTAAAGGTCCCTTGACACTATTTGAAAAGAGAATTGCTCCTGGTGTTCTGACTAAGAAGTCCCCCAAATAAAATTGGTTACCCACTCCATGGCTGTTTGTGGGTTTTTTTGGTCAGCCGGGTGTCCGACACAAGGTGAAACTTGCTACCATGCTTAAGAATATCCAAACCAAACTGAGAATTCCATGCATCCCACCAACATATGGAAATTCTGGAGATAAATTGTTGGAATGGAATCTGGACTCTCTCCCTGGAGGGACTTATCCTGTTTACCTAATTCCGGAAAATATTAGGCACACGTTAGCAAGAACCGAGGCTTGAGAACCCTAGAGTGTTTGTTGGGGTACTGCTGGAATCTAACCAGCTGAAACTGCATAGCTTGCCATTGAGAACACTGCCTGGCAAGCTTTCTTGCTGCTTGTCCAGCTAGGACCACCCTACCCATTATGGTTTTGGTTTGTAGTACTAACAGGAGCTGAGTGGGATGACTCCCTCCACCAATGACCGGTCTGCCCTTCAAAGTCCTGCCATTGAGCCAGGCTGGCTGTATGGTCATCAGTATTTCTCTGGAAGATCCCTTGACACTATTTGAAAAGAGAATTGTTCCTGGTGTTCTGACTAATAAGTCGGGGTGGATTCCAAGCGCTGGTTGTACAAATTTATGTTCACAAACTTGGATTCCAGATAAAACCTTCCAGCAGCTGTCGCCCCAAGCCTTAGAGTTTTCTCATTAACTATCTGTTGGATATCTGCCTTCAGCATGGTGGGAGGACCTTTACAGGACAGATTGTGTAGTGCCAGCCACCTTGATGTTCTCAAAGTGCAATCTAATGCCATGTACAAAGCTTACTCAGCACCAGCTCATAATCCAGGTCCTCATGTGAGAGGCCTTGGCAAATAGAAGTGTCCACTGTGAAACTGTCTCCTCCTGCAGATGTTTAGTGACAGGTCAATGTAGGCCAGCGCCCTCCCTCCCTACAGTCACTTCCTGCGTTTGCCACAAATCCACATCTCCAGTAACTCGATCCAAAAAAAGAGAACTGTTTGCACACAGGTCTTATATGCCGCAAGCTTGACATGTATTGGGGCCTTGAAGAAGGATGAGCAAAACCAGTTGTCCACCACAACCCTGAGGTATCGAAAAAAATAAACAATTGGGACTGATGGTCTTAGTATCTTCCAATCAATACCCTCAATGTCTTCTCTTTGGCCACGTAGAACCATGATTCCATACCCACCTGGAGTATGATGGGGTCTGTGCCTCAGAGAGAATCCCACTGACCAACTCCAAGGTAAGTTGAGGTTCTTGGCTCGCCTTAAAAGCCCTCCACAGTCTTGATCCTTTTATCTCTGTGACCTGCTAACCCCATATTGACCCGTCCACTCCCTCCTCTCAGCAGATTGCCTGCTACAATCTCTCTGGCCCCACGCTTTGGAAATCCATCCCACAGTCCCTTCACCTCACACCCTCACTTGCCTCCTTCAAAGTACATCTCAAGATCCTCCTCTTTGACCACATCTTCAGTCAACCTCCTATCCCTACCCTCTCTGCCCTCCACCCCTCCTGTTCCTAACCTCCTGGTCGGGTCCAAATCCCTGTCTGTCTAGGATCTTGGGATATTCTCCCAACGTGTAAGCCGCTATACAAATATAATTTTTGTTATTGGATCTGTAAGATCCTCGCTGTTCTGCATGTCCTCCCTCAGAGCAGCTTTTAGGAACTCAGCATTGATGCCGTCCGCACCTGCTGCTTTTCATTAGCAAGAGATGCCGCAGTGCGGAGTCCACCTCCTCCCAGCGGATTGGGTCATTAAGGCCTTCAATTTGTCAGATGTCTCCCACCAGCTCTTCCAATCTCCATGTGGATGGATCTCTACTATAGCCTGTTGGTTATTTTGTATGCAAATTGTCTGCTGCATTTCAACCACAAGATACACTGCAAACTAGATTGACTGTATGACCTGTGAAGTGCTTTGAGACTCCTCGATAAAGCAATATATCAAATGCAAGAATTATTATAAATCTTTGCAATGTAGGGAAGACCACCTCAGAACCAAGCTCCTATTGGTAAATGGTGCCGAATTGCACAAGTTATAAAATATATGACATGTATGGATATAAGTTCACAGCTTGATAATCATTCTGGGAAGAAGGAATATGCTCAAACTACCAACTTCTGAAAGTCATTTTGAAGATCGCCTAGAGCTATGATCCTGTCCAGTAAAGACCAGAGTGAGTATTTTTTTTAACTCTAGACACCTGTTCAAGGCAGCTGTTTACATTGCTTGAATAATAATGAAATATTATTTAAGAATGTGATTGTCTTTTTGTTAGAGACAATAGAAAGAATAATTAACTCTCATCATATCACATCAGGTTTGATCACATCCCGAGCATTCAATGAAGGGCACTTTCAGTATAGATGGCAATTCAGAGGCCCAAACTGTTCTAGGTTTAAGAACACTGTCTTAAAATTTAAAATTATGGAGAATTTCGGAAATATTAAAAAGCAGTCTTAAAAGAACTGAGAAAAACTGACTTCCGAATTAAAACTGAATTTAAGAATTTTCCAAAAATCTGAATAATTATAAATTTTAAGTCAATGGTTTTAAGTTTATGACATTGAGAAATTTGTGGTCTCAGCAGTGGGAATCCTGACTCATGGGTGCTTCAGTGAATTACAGAATCTCCAATTGACAACTTGCCTGGAATTGTTGTGGTCTGTATGGATCATTTACCCACAATGTTCATACTAAGGAATTGTAACAAAAATAGTACTTGGGGAGAAATTCAACTTGGGCTAGATTTACTCTATTTACTTTAAAGCATCCAGAATTTGTCAGATTCTTAAATACATCCTTAATTTTGAAGCAAGTTTTCTGAAAGTTCTTTTAATAAAAAACAACGTGAAAGTTAAGACTAAATTCAACAATTTATTAAATTCTGGATGATCTAAAATACTACATAAATAGAGCAAATCTGGTCCCAGGTGGAATTCCTCTCCAATTATGTTTTATACTGTTTGTGATCAACAACAGCTTTCTTAATGAGAGCTGAATATCGAAAAGGTAATCAAAGGGATGGAGTCTGGAAAGATTGGGTGCTGAGACAGGTGATTAGTAGCAAACACATTTTACCAAAGCAAATTGTGTATTATTAACACCAACCTGTAAAATTGTACGATTTACACACACATCCACTTTAATGGTGCCACGTAAATATTTCGAACACATCGCTTTTACTTACATAATGAAGATTACATATCACATTAGAGTTTTATCCTATTAATTATAAGGATTACTTAAAGCTGACACATTAATATTTAATGAAATGGTCCACAAGTGTTTAATTAGATAGGTCAGTAAATAAACAGTTAAATGGTTTGTTCATATTTACAGTATGTTCTGTGAAGGGCTTTGAGACATCTCGAAGAAGTGATAAGACGCTATATCAAATGCAAAGATTATTATTATTACTATTATTGGAAACTCTGTGAACTTTACAACAATCTAGCTACTTAATGCTAGCTGAAATTCACAAATGTTTTACATTCAAAATTACATAATTGGCAAAAAAGGAACCAAAATCATGATTTGACTTTCAGATACACCAAGACAACAGATTAAGGCGGCTCAGATTTAGAGTTGTAAAGGGCACTGTCAAGATAAACACCAAGAAGCTTTTCTAATTAACAACTGGAATGGGTTATCAGGAAGAGTGGTCAAAGCAAATATTCATTATTCATTTAAGAAACAACTATTATTGCTGCAATGAGAGGATGTTAGGGTGGGTATACTGGAAGGTTGAGATTAAAAGAGTTGAAGGCCTTCTTCATCTGAATTTCTCTGGGATTTTATGACCTAGGAACATAGGAGCAGGCATGGACCATTCAGCCCTGCAAGCCTGTTTCACCATTTAATTAGATCATGGTTGATCTGTACCTCAACTAATCCTTTCAATTCCAATTTTCCACTTTTTCCCCATATCCCTTAATACCCTGACCTACCAAAATCTATCAACCTCACCCTTGAAGGTGTGGATGGATCCAGCAAGACCTCTGAGTTGCTATGCCATTATAATTACACAGATGATGTAGGTACAGAGGAAATCCCTTATATGGACTACAACAGAAATTAACCTCTTGGGATCACATGGCAGAGGTTCAGCAAAATTACTGTGAGCATCATACTTTGAGCTATTGGGATAACTATACCCCTAAAATAGACAGTAATAACAGATATAACTATCAAAGGTACTAATAGATCATTTAGAATGTATTTTTGTGTGAAAGTGGTGAATTATTGTATTTTCCAGAGAAAGCATTTCAGTGAGGAGAACTGCAAGCCAGCAAAATTGTGGCATCAGCTAAAGGAAAGATTCATGATGGAACACTGACCTTCCTTTTTATCCTCTAGGGCAATCTTCACTTTTGTATCGGTGATGTCTTTGAAAGAAGCCAAAAAAAGCACCACATCCCCTTTCTCGTTCTTAATTGGGACGACATCAAGCAGGCACCAGAAGGAAGTACCTGGAAAGATTACAAGGAGCATCAATCAGCCATCTATTTCAATCTATTTGCTGATGAAATTTATAATCCTTTATCCCTGAGAGTGTAAAATGGAATATACCATTATAATCTCCGAGTATCAAAGACTTGCAAATGTATCAGTAGTTGTATGAATCCATTCCAAAGGTTCAAAGTTTACACAGGATGGGTGCTTGTGTCCATACCTCCACAATACAATACAATTTACATGTATATAGTGCAAGACATCTCAAAGTGTTTTACATTACTGCCTGAGCCTCTGAGCTGGTGGTGGGGTGGGTAGGGGGTTGAAGAGAAGAGAAGAGGAAAGATGAATGACAGGGGTAATTCTTGAGGCAAACTTTGAAAGTAGGAGAGAGCATGTCAGAAGGATCCAGAGAGCAAGGGTAGGATGACTGAAAGGTTGCCCACCAATGGTAGGGTGGATAGGATGGGGGATATGAAGCTAGCCAAAGTTTGCTGTGTGAAAGGAGGTAAGGTTGTTAGAGTTAGAGTGGGATGAGGCAAGGAAGGAGTATGGGTACATTTCAAGAACACAAATGTTTGACACTATCCCCAGGTCTCACAGAATGGGCAACACTGAAGCTGAATGAAGTTGAGTGATATGTACTCCTTGGTGGAAAGTACATGCGAATCCCACAGGATCTAAATTGCCCGCGGAAACAGCAGTCAAGCTGGAAGTACTTCAGGGAACTAGTGCTCACGGTTGTCAATCAAATCCTTTCTGAGAAAGCAAGAAGCCAACAACTCCATCCAACAACAACTACTTATTTGATCTCTGGGGAGAAATCTCCAAAAGTTATTGACAATTGTTAGAATTCTGTAGCCATACTGAAACCGTTGAAGACAAAAAGTTTAAATTTTAACATTGTCGTATCTGTTTATCTGTGAAATCAGAAGATTTAAGGGGAATTCATAATTTGAATTGCCTGCAGATTAACAAACCTTTTAAAGGAGGAGGGATGTTGCAAAGTGGGGTAGTTAGCCTGAATGGCCTTTTCTCATTTCATATAATTTGGGAAGTGCTACAAAAACTTTATATTAAGGTTGGTGTGCAATTCATATAAGTGCAGCGTGCTCGCCTCGCAAGCGAGATGAACTGGGTGCGATTCCTGGCCATGTCGTGGCAAAACTTTAGGCAAGTTTCCGTACTCCACACATCTCTGTTTACCTAGCAGTAAGTAGGAACCTGGTTGTTAGTCGATTGGCGGATCGCTTTCCAGGGGTAATAATCCCTCAAAATAAAAATAATAATAATAATTTGGTCACTCAATCCGCAACTGTTTGTGGAGCATAGTTGTGCACAATTGGCTGCCATGTTTCGCTCACAAAGTACACAGTCAATCCACTTTACAGTATATTCTGTGAAGTGCTTTGAGATGCCTCAACAATGTGATAAAGCGCTATATCAAATACAAGGATTATTATTATATATATGTTCCCTATAATCTAGAAGTATACCTTTCCAGCACTAACCTTTAAGTAAGGCAACATTTCAGGATCACTCCAAATTCTTTGTGTATGGGTGAAAAGAGTAACATTTTAGAACAAAATTTAATATATCACATTGAATCTGTTATGATACTTCACATTTTTGCATTCATGTTAATTGCTGTAGACTTAATATTGCATTTCTATGTCACGTCTTTGCTTCCACTTTATGAGTACTAATGGTAATGCTGTAATACCCCAACACATTCTATTGTTGTGTTGCTTTGGCCTCCTTTCCTGCTACTTCTATAAATACTGTAACTGAAGTTTATTCTTGTTCATGATTGAAACACTCACAGTTCAGACCAATATCATTTACCGTTAAAGAGCAATTGCCTGAGGGTTGGTACATGTATCAGTCTTGATAGTGTGAGTAATGGGAAAACCCTTTCATAAGCTCATAGAGCCGAGAACATACCGACCAATAGAAGATTATGCCTAAGAAACATTTTTTTCTCAACTGGAAACAGCAGAATGAGCTTGTGCTGATGACAAATTGAGTTATTTTGCTCTTTACTTGAGTTTAACAAATTTGTCTCTGGTCACTTCCAAAAACATTTAATAAAATGGTTGAATTGCAAATAAAATTAATTTTTAAATATTAAATATGTCACAATTTGTACATTAATGAATGCATTAGATTTAGCAAAAAGAACAGAACAACCTCAAAGATGTCAGATGTTTAGGTGTCAGATTAGCTCCGATAGTATCAATCTTGGTTCTGGGTCAGATTGTTGTGGGTTCAAGCTTTGAGTTCATAATCTAAACTCCAATGCAGAGTTGGGGAGTGCTGCATTGCCAGAGGTGCTGTCCTTCATATGAAACGTTAAACTGAGGATCTGCCTGGCCATTCAGGTGGACATTATAGATCCCATAACACTATGTGAAAGGAGAAGCGAGTATCTCTCAGTATCCTGGCCAACAATTCTCTGGATAAAATTAGTCATTCATTTCATGCTGTTTGTAGCATCTCGCCATGCCAAAATTGGCTGTCCCATTTACGTACACATACAGAGCGAGTACACTTTTAATAATAATAATAATAACCCTTGCATTTGATATAGCACTTTTCACGTCAGGAGGACGTCCCAAAGCGCTTCACAGAACACACTGTAAAGTGAATTGACTGTATATTTGTGGCGAACGCGGCAGCCAATTGCGCACAGCAATGTCCACAAACAGTCGTAGATTGAAAATGACCAATTTATTATTGTTTTGTTTTTTGGAGGGATTATTATTAGGTGTGTGGAGTAAGGAAACTTGCCCAAGGTTTCGCCCTCTGCCTGGAATTGAACTCAGGTCTCTCGCTTGCAAAGCGAGTATTCTAACCACTGAGCTACAGGACTCCACATGCTATTAAATGCTACTTTCTTCAAGCTTTGTCTTTGAGTTGTCTTTATCTTAAAGTCCTTGATCAAGTCTTGCTTATAGAGATAGAACATGTGCAAGCAAACCTGAAAAGCATTCTACACAAAAAATTCACGCACTTGTTTTTCTATATTTGTAGAATCTACAAAAGTAAATGTAATGTATAAATTGAAGGTCTGTGAGCAGTAGACGGATTTCAGTCTTGGGTGGGTCAGGTTTGGAGTATAGCCAAGTGGATTGATCATCACAAAGCAAATGTGAAGTTTGGACCATTTTAAACATAAGGATTCGAGCCAGAAACTGGGGCTGAATGGAGCTGGGACTGAATGGAGCTCATGCTCCATGGGACTGAGAAAAGTGGAACTGGACAGAGTGAAAGCAGGTCTTCAATGACACTGAGCTGAAAGTTGGAACTGAATGGAACTTATAGTGAGAACGGTCAGAAATTGAGGAAATTGATAGAATTTTAGTTTTGTAAACATACCACTGAAGTTAGGACTTTGAAACAGTGAGAAAGTTGCATAGGATTGTCAAGTACAACCCATGACCATGTATTTAACACCATGTGCTTTTCACAAGTCAATTATTCATTAAGAACGCAAAACAATTGGCTCCAAATTCAATTTTTAAAAATCTAGGAGTCCTAAAAATTATTTAGAATTTTAGAAACATAAATCTAAATGTATTTTAAAAGCTAGTTTTGTGCAATTCGTTTGATTGACTAGTGTTTAAAACAGTCTGACAATTCAACATGTGTCACTTGTTAGAAGTTCATTCCATTCTAAAACAGTGACTGGCTCATCACAATATCCAAAACAGCCAACGCCACTTTTATCCTATTCCTAAATACTCATTTAAAAATCTCACAGAACTGCCAAATAACACTGCAGAATAAAATAATTCATGTCAAAGCTGCTACACGAAATCATAAAATGAGTTTTTGTATGCTTGAAAACAGTTAGGCCTCGTCATTTATTTAGCAAGGAGAAAAGGTTTCTTTTCTTCATGATCTGACATCTTTTGAATGATTAGACAGTTCGGTTCTGCAGATCTGCAGTGAATTTGCATCTTTAGAACACCTGTAACATTAAAAAGTTTCAAAGCATTTTGCAGTAATTACTGTCAAGTGTAGACTTTTCTTAGACAAATATTGCAGCCATTGTATGTTGACTGACCATACAACAACAACAACAACAACAAGATTCCATTTATAGAGCGCCTTTCACGTCAGGAGGACGTCCCAAGGCGCTGCACAGTTGGGTCATGACCCGAGCATTGGGGGGAAATGGTCAGGGTGAGGGGAGGGAAGGGAGGGAGAGAGGAGGGGGAAATGGTCAGGGTGAGGGGAGGGAAGGGAGGGAGCGAGGAGGAGGAAGAGAGTCGAGAGGGGAGCTGAAGGCACGGTCAAAGAGAAAGGTCTTGAGACCGGCCTTGAAGGAGGAAAGGGAGGAAGCAAGGCGAAGGCACTGGGGATGGAGTTCCAGAGCCTGGGGCTGAGAGGCTGAAGGCCGACCACCGATGGTAGGGCGGTTGGGGCGGGGGACGTGGAGCAGACCGGAGCCAGAGGAACGGAGGGTACGGGCAGGTAGGTAGGGGGATAGTAGGTCGGAGAGGTAGGAGGGAGCAAGGCCGTGAATGGCCTTGTAGGTGAGGATGAGGATCTTGAAATCAATCCTCTGGGGGATGGGGAGCCAGTGGAGGCGAGCGAGGGTGGGAGTGATGTGATCGCGAAGCCTGGTGCGGGACAGTACACGAGCTGCAGAGTTCTGAATGACCTGCAGCTTGTGGAGGAGGTGCCGGGAAGGCCGGCGAGGAGAGAGTTCCATAGTCCAGCCTTGAGGTGACAAAGGCGTGAACCAGGGTTTCAGCGGCGTGAGGGGTGAGGTAGTGCCGTAGTCTGGCGATATTCCGGAGGTGATGGAAGGCGGTGCCAGTTGTGGTGCGGATGTGAGGGAGAAAGGACAGCTCAGGGTCGAACAAAACGCCGAGGTTCCTGACTGGCTTTGAGAGGTGGAGAGTGCAGCCTTGGATGCTGAAGCCATGAGGTGAATGATCAATGTATCTGGATAAATGTTAGCCAGGACACTCCCTCATCAACATTTTTGTATAATGCCTTTCACGTT